TTACACCGTACACCGTGCACCCCACACCTTACACCGTAAGCTGTGCACCACACATCCTACACCCTACACCCTACACCCTACACCCTACACCCTACGCCCTACACCCTACACCTCACACCCTACACCCTACACTCTACACCCTACACCCTACACCCTACACCCTACTCTGCTCACCCTAAACCCTGCAGCCTCCAAACTAAACCCTAAAACCTAAACCCTAAGGTCTGAATTTGAAGTCCATGGGTTTCTGCCAGAACACTGTGATGCACAGTCATGCGTGGTTATTACTGGCTACCAATCGAAGGGAGAACATGAATGACAAGTCCGGCCTTCAAAGTTGAAGGAATTACCTACTAGTAGTAGCAAAGGCTAAGGATGGCGATGAAACGTACAGCATTTTGTTGTCACTGTCACGGCGCCTTTTTTTTTTTTTTTGCCTGTTGTGGACATGAGACACACAAAGAAAGACATTCATTGACTGCTGAACTTCGAAGGTGTGCTAGTTACCTGTCCCGTGGGCCGGCCATTAAAATTCAAACACAAGAAAGAAGATTAGCAAAGGGCAAAGGGACAGTTGAATGGACTGTATAGCAGTCGTATCGCGTCCAAGCTCTGTTGCACAGAAGCGTGACAATCGGGATTGAGCAGAGAAGAGAAACTGTGCACACAGATTCCTGTACTGGCAAATTGTGGCAATCACTTCAAGATTAGCTCAGACAGAGCCCTGCAGGTATCAAGCAGGGAAGAAAAGTGTACATACTACACACAGGTGAAGACAATGATTGGGTAGATTGGGTGTCCTCGGCACTGTTCACTGAGGTAACGTAGGGGTAGGGAGGAAGTTGATGTTGCCATGATTTTTTTTTTTTTTTTTTTTTTTTTTTTTAACAGTCCCTCAGGTGCTAGCGGTGCTGTTTAGAGCAGGCATCGCTAGCACCCTGGGAGAGGCTCCATCTATTGGTGGGGAGCGTCACCTGCTGGAAAACGGGTCCAGATGCTGCCATGATATTAATGCTCATGTCATGTTCTTCTTCTTTTAAGGGAATCTTTGTCTTCAGATTCCTGCACAGGCAATCAGTTTTTAAGATTAGCGCAGACAGAGTCGGGCAGGTATGGAGTAAAGAAGAAATGTGTGGACACAAGTTAAAGTACTTGTGAAAACAGTAAAACACAAATGAGAAAACAACATCTCTATTATTCATTTGTTAGCTAAGAAAAGAAAAGAAAAGAAAAGAAGGGGAGGCTCTATTTACCCAAGTGTTTGAGGACAGTCGAGACTCGAGACAAATTGACAGACAATTTTTTATCACAGCAATTGGAAATTTACAAAGCAAAAGAATGTGAACTTTCAAATGTCTCACAAGTTCACAGCAGGGGAAAAAACATTTGATTATTTGAGGGCCTTTTGAGGCTACAAAAACACACCCACCCACCCACCCACCCACACCCACACACACACACACACACACACACACACACACACACACACACACACACACACACACACACACACACAACTCTGGGCGATGTGGTGAGTCCTTATCCAACAGTCAAATGAATCCTGGGCAGACTGTCTGTCGGGGTTCAACCTCCTGATGAGTTGGTGAAAGTCCGACGACACAGTCTCTCTGCCACGGCCATGCTTTTTTTGAGTGTGTACTACTGTATAGCGAATATGACAACACACACACACACACACGAAAAAAAGAAAAAAAGAAAAAAAGGAACCTGCGAACAAATGACTCGTCACCTGTGTGAGGGATCTGCATTGCCATGTAACTCAAGGAGAGATGTACCTTGTCATTTAAATGACATTAATTCAGACATCCATCTTTATCAAACGAGGAGGAGTTTACTATTGTGGTAAGACAGGAATGAGGGCAGATATATCATAGATGTCCATTTTTTTTTAATTACTTATTTATTTTTTGGGCGAATTGTTTTACGATAAAGGCAACTTTGATTTATATATTTGCGCCATGTTGTTTTCATGACGATTTGGTCATATACGTTTGTCGTATTGATAAAATTCGCTTTACTCTGTCGTCATCTTGCTTCATTTCCTGTTTAGTGGGGTTTCCAGAAAACCAGAAAACAATTCATGTTTTCTAGTATGACCCCCCCCCCCAGAAAAAAAGAAAAAAAAGAAAAGAAAAAAAAAAATCAAAGCCATGTAAACCCGATTCATCGTACAAAGCATGAATCAGGTTTCACACCACGTACACAAGCGCAGAAGCAAAAAATGTGGGCTTGTGGAGCCGCGGTCTGCGTCTTCTTCTGCTTTTCTCCAGAGGGTGGCACAATTACAAATGGCAATCAAAGATCAGGTGCATAATTATTAATTATTCATGATTAATTATATTACCTGCATCGACCGCAATCCCTTTTGATTATTGATTTATCAATTTTTATTTCAAATTTTCAATGAAGGAAAATGAAATTGAACGAAAAGAATGACAAAGGTGAAGAAATTGACCGTTGCTGATGGGGTTTAAAATTTAAATCCTTGTATGTTATTCAACTTATTTTCTAGTTGTAATTATGTCTTCTCTACCCCCTTAAGCCAGGATTAGGGGGTAAAGGATGGTGTTAAGAGGGACCACCCCCCGGTGAGCACAAATCCTGAAATGCTTAATTATCAAAATTCTGTGTGTGTGTGTGTGTGTGTGTGTGTGTGTGTGTGTGTGTGTGTGTGTGTGTGTG